GTAGGCCACTTCGTGTTCTTCTAGTTCCCAGAACTCCATTCCTGGGCCACATTTTGAATGCTGAGGCAGGCTGATGCTGCGGCCGAGGCAGGCTGAGGCTGAGGCAGGCTGAGGCTGAGGCCGAGGCTGAAGGCAGACTGAGGCTGAGGCTGAAGCAGACTGAGGCTGAGGCTGAGGCAGGCTGAGGCTGAGGCTGAAGCAGGCTGATGCTGAGGCAGGCTGAGGCTGAGGCTGAGGCTGATGCAGGCTGAGGCTGAGGCAGGCTGAGGCTGAGGCCGAGGCTGAAGGCAGACTGAGGCTGAGGCTGAAGCAGGCTGAGGCTGAGGCTGAGGCAGGCTGAGGCTGAGGCAGGCTGAGGCTGAGGCTGAGGCAGGCTGAGGCTGAGGCTGTGACTGCGACTGCCGTTGCCGCTGCGACTGTCATCGCGAATGCGACTACGACTGCGAGAACAGCAGAATTCTACAACTGGATTTTCATCTGAATCTTAAGGGGAATGCTTTCAGATATGCTTCTACACATCGCTGTTAGGTTGCTTTGCCGGGATAATTCATCTGAATCTTAAGGGGAATGCTTTCAGATATGCTTCTACACATCGCTGTTAGGTTGCTTTGCCGGGATAATTTTAGAATAGGAGTTCAATAGGAAATGGTCGAGTCCCAGCTTCCAGAGGAATTCCTTATAATTCATTACCTAACAGCGAAGATTGATAGGTTTCTAGTGGTGTCAAAGAGCATCATGACTCCTCAGAGGGGGTCGGGGCGGGACCCGGGGAGGCTGCCGCCGAAGCAGAAATCGCTTGGGACATCCTCGCAAAATCGCTCTTGGTGCTCCCAGAACTCCATTCCCGGGCCACATTTTGGATACCCGAAGCCAGCTGTAGGCCACTTCGTGCTCTTCGATTTCCCAGAACTCCATTCCTGGGCATGATTTTGGATGCCCGGAGCCAACTGTAGGCCACTTCGTGCTCTTCGAGTTCCCAGAACTCCATTCCCGGGCCACATTTTGAATGCCCCGAGCCAACTGTAGGCCACTTCGTGATCTTCGAGTTCCCAGAATTCCATTCCTGGGCCTGATTTTGAATGCCCGGAGCCAACTGTAGGCCACTTCGTGTTCTTCGAGTTCCCAGAACTCCATTCCCGGGCCACATTTTGAATGCTGAGGCAGGCTGAGGCTGAGGCTGAGGCAGGCTGATGCTGAGGCAGGTGAGGCTGAGGCCGAGGCTGAAGGCAGACTGAGGCTGAGGCTGAAGCAGGCTGAGGCTGAGGCTGAGGCAGGCTGAGGCTGAGGCTGAGGCAGGCTGATGCTGAGGCAGGCTGAGGCTGAGGCTGAGGCTGATGCAGGCTGAGGCTTAGGCAGGCTGAGGCTGAGGCCGAGGCTAAAGGCAGACTGAGGCTGAGGCTAAAGCAGGCTGAGGCTGAGGCTGAGGCAGGCTGAGGCTGAGGCTGAGGCAGGCTGAGGCTGAGGCTGTGACTGCGACTGCCGTTGCCGCTGCGACTGTCATCGCGAATGCAACTACGACTGCGAGAACAGCAGAATTCTACAACTGGATTTTTATCTGAATCTTAAGGGGAATGCTTTCAGATATGCTTCTACACATCGCTGTTAGGTTGCTTTGCCGGGATAATTTGTTTTTGAAAGGGAATTCAATAGGAAACTGTCGAGTCCCAGCCTCAAGAGGAATTCCTTAATAATCTATTTGTTTTTTGAATACGATTTCAATAGGACATGGTCGAATCCCAGCCTCCAGAGGATTTCCTTAGTAATCGATTTGTTTTTGAATCGGAATTCAATAGGAAACATGCTTACTGAGAGTATGACTTCTTTTTCCCAACCATCCTGTGGTGTTGGGTCCTCGTTTTGAAGAGACGGTGCCCCGCGTCTCCTCCTTCCTTCCTCCTCCCCCTCCTCCCTCCTCCCCCATCCTGGCTTTTGCTCTCCGCATGTCTCTGTTTCGGCCCACCCCTCACACGCTTCGTGGCCCCATAGGGAGCTCCACCTAAGGTCCCAGTGGCGGAACTCGCATGGCGCCGCCGCCCCATTTTGGCACACCCCTCACACGTTTCGTGGCCCCATAGGGAGCTCCACCCCAGGTCCCAGTGGCGGAAGTCGCATGGCGCCGCCGCCCCATTTTGGCACACCCCTCACACGTTTCGTGGCTCCGTAGGGAACTCCACCTAAGGTCCCAGTGGCGGAACTGGCATGGCGCCGCCGCCCCATTCTGGCACACGTTGCGGAAGCAGCTGGAGCAGTTTGCGGCGCGCACGAAGCGGTGCAAAAGGGAGGCGACGGCCCTCGCCAGGGAGATGGGCTTCACCGAGTTTATCCGCG